AGAGGAGGAAAGTGAATCTGAAAAAGAAGAAAGTAAAGAAAAACGAGAGGAAGAAAAAGAGGAGGAAGAAATTTCTGAGGGGGAACCACAGGAGGCAGATTCTGAGAAAGAAGAGGAGACTCAGAGTGAGGGGGAATCTAGCTCAGAGAGTGAGAGTCTTGACCTCCCTTATACAGGGGGACTAAGGAGGAGTAAGAGGAAAATTGTCAAACCTGCTACTTCTACTCTAAAGCCTGTGATTATTGAAGACATTAGTTCTTCTGATCACTCAGACCCTGATTTTACCCCTACACAAGTTCCTTTTGCTTCCGAGCCATCTCTTGTTCCTGACTCTCCCCCAAAACAAGCTAAACCCTCTTCCACTCCTGTTTCACCTCCAAAACAGACTTCTCCCTCTCCCTCCACAGCTTTTCCTATATCACAGCCTACAGGCTTTGCTGCCTTCTCTGGAACAAATGCTTCTGTTTTTGATATTCAACAGGTGAAAGCAGAAATGGAGCAGCTGATAAAGATGGTGTGCACAAAGCTGGAGGACATGGCAAAGCAGCTGGCTTCTCTTCAACGCCAAGTGCAGGCTGTGGCAGATGCTCAGGCAACCAGTTTTACTGGGATGGAGAACAAAGTTGATGCTGCTGAGAAGAACATATTGCACAACACTCAGGAGATATTGGAGACGATTAACAGGGTGGCTTTTGAAGAAGTGGAGGAAGCTTCTAATGACCCCATAACCCCAGCTGATGAACCTACCTATTCCCCATAATTGCAATTTCGAACTTGTTACTTTTCATTTCTTTTGCTTGTTTCATTCAGATTTCAGTTTGTAACTCTTAACTTTTGCTACTCTTTCTTGCTTTTGATTTTCGTCTATGGGAACTTGGCTCGTATTTTTCATATGATTGTGTGTGTTTGCTGATAATTTAGTACCTAACTTATTTTTGCCTTGCATTATTTGAGCTCACTATTCCCTACGTAGTCTAGTGGGAGTATAGCAAAATGTTTTTTTTAATCTTTTGATAATGCCAAAAGGGGGAAAAGACAAACTTCATGGCGGCTAAGGTGTTTACCAAGGAACTCACACATCGAAGGTACAAACTTTGGCTAAGTTCAGTTAACTTAATAAAGTCCTAGTAATCTAAGTTTTTTTTTTAAAAAAGTCTTTGTTAATTTTTTCTTTTGCTCAGTCTTTTTAAAATAAATACTTTTTAGTATTTTTCTAAGTTCTTTAATTACTCTGTCTGTTTTTTTTGTTTTCATGTCTTGCTTTAAATTTTTGTTGCATGCCTGGATGATTTTATTTACCTAAGTTTGTCAATGTTTGTCATCATCAAAAAGGGGGAATTTGTTGAGCCTTTTGGTTTTGATGGACAAATTGACAAACTCGACTAATGAATGTTTTGAGTCTTTGGTGAATAAAGGGTTCAAGCAAAGTTCGTTCCGGAGTAGGAACTTGGATGCGGAGAAGCATTCTCTAAAAAGCCTCATGCAAATCTCACGTTCTAGTTTTAATTGTGATCACTCAATAATATGAAGTCGGAAAGGAACTCAATGACTTATGTTATTAAAAAAGACTACTGGAATAAAATTTAGTTTTAAAAGATAATTTCTTAAGGAAAAGATAATTTATAAAAGTTTTATCTAGTCATCTAATTTCGAATAAAGATAATTATCGAAGATAATTATCTAGTTGTTTTAATATAAATAATTAATTTATCTTTTCAAATAAAATCCTTTTAAACAAACTTTTGATAATCTTTTTAAACAGATTTTTGATAAAGTTAGCAAGCGGTTTTTCTGTGTGAAAATCTTTGATTATACGGCTAATGTTTATCAAGTTGTGGATTAGTGAGATAAGGCTAGGAAACCTCCTTCATGATCACCATCTGTCAAGATAACTCCACAAGTTGTTAGTGGGGTGTTGGCATGTGGACGTGATTATAGTGGAGGTTAATGACTAAGCCTTCTCTATAAATACTCATGCAAACTATCTCAGAAAAATATAACTCTTGAGCATAAAAATTCCAGTAGCCATCTAACAACATAAAGAGAGTTATTATCCTTCTTATATTCTTGAGTGCAATAGGTATTTGTAATCACAGATTGTATTCAAGTACTTTGGGGTTGGGATTGTGAGTTTGTAAGGTGAGGTCAAGGAAGCTTCGTTGCTGAAGGCTTCTGTGAGAGTTGGGAACAAGTTCCTAATTTGTGGAACTTGTTAACGGGTTTGAATCTTCACTTGTAAAGAGTTTGATTACATAGTGGAAATTTAGAAAAGCCTATATCTTCTCTCGTCATTATTTCATTTAGTTAAATTCCGCAAAAAGTTTTTATTTTTCACCTCAAATACAATTCACCTCCCCCTCTTGTATTAGCCAGTTATACTTTCAGGTTGAACAAATTGGGTTGGTTTGAAAATGGGTTTTGGTTCAAAACAAATTTGGTCAGCCAATAAAAAAATTAGTATATGGTAGTCATCTTAAGGATGAATACCATAGAATCATCCGGACATGACTCTTATTAGGTAGCCAAAATGTTTGCCCAATTTTGTATTAAAATACATATATTATGTACAAAAATTGCATAAATATTTCCGAATTCATATATATATTTAATTAATTATTACTTTTTCTAATTTTCATTTTAATTAATAGTTTATCTATCCAAAATTAACCTCCTGATCCGCCCAATAACGGGTCTATGTGAAATGAGATTCTAAAATAAGCTATCATATAAAGCAGTCTTTAAGAGAGACGACGTATTCTTTGTCTTATTTTTTTTTTATAATAATTCTTTTATCTAATTTATGAGAAGCTAATGTATGTGTTCAATATAAGGTTCTCGGACACATTGCCAGCAAAAGCAAAGGAGGAACATTCTCCATTGCAAAACTTGGAGAACTGAGTAAAGTATTCGCCCCGTGTTTGGCCAGGCTTCCTAGCGTACTTGTCAAAGACGTGAATCTTGTTCTCGAACTACTCCTAGGGATGATGAGCAGAAAAGAGAAGGTTATAACCATTATCAAAAAGGTTTATGCAGGAGACTATAAAAAATAAACAGTTGATAAATTAAAGAAACCGGCTCTGTAACTATTTCATTTGGCGACCTCTACCAACAAGAGATACGCATGGTTTTGGTCTCCCTTATAGTCCCTGAAATTAGTAATGATCCAAAAAAGGCTCAAGTCGAACTCGACTCTCGTTGAATCTCTTGCACCTACATATTTTGCTTTACATTCCAACAAACACTGCTTGATTGTACATAATTAATCTTAACAAGTGATCGTAGTAATTAAGTATACTCTTCACTTTCCCTATAAAAATATCCCAAATTATCTGAAACATATTTCTGAAAAAGGAAAGAAGTTTAGCTAATGTTAAAAGATCATCTAAATAAAAAGTTTAAGCTAATAGTTCAGGCCCATGAATATGCTCTATACTCTATCACCCCCTCGCACAGGAGCCTGTTAGGCTTGAGGTGTGGATATAGCATGGATCCCCTTTTTATACTCTAGGGAGTACAAAATATATACGAGGTTGATTGATTTGCCTAAAATTTTGCATATGTCAAAGTGGTGTGCGTGAGTAATTTAAGAAAGATTTGATTACGAAACTAATGAATAATATTACCTTTGTTTCGTATTGTTTGTAATAATTAATTAAGTTTGCACATACTCATAAGCAAAATTTATTTTTGAGTTTGAAATGTAGAGAAAAAAAGTAGTGTAGCTATTAAAATGAAACTTAGGTAGTGTAAATAAATAATGATGAATGAATATCAATATCGCAGAGCTAAATTAGTAAAAAAATTACTTCATAAATTTTAATCCTTAAAAATTAGGGTGAAAATGGGCCTAATTAAATATACTCTTCAACTTTCCCTGTAAAACTATCCCAAATGAGTTGAAACATATCCTGAAAAAGGAAAGAAAAATACCTATCTACTACTCTGTAATGTACAGATTACACAATAAAATACATACGTAATTAATTGAGTTGCTTTAAACGTTGCGTATGTCAAAATGGTGTGACTAATTTAGGACTTATCTGATTATAAATAAAATCAACGAATAATTTGAATGTATACCAATATCGCAGGGCTGAATCGGGAAATTTGACGCAAACCAATCCAATTAAGATCCGAGTTAAGCGATGTATCGCACCGACAATGAAACAAACAGACGCAACAAAAGCTGAGATAAAACGAGTGAAAATTGTGGAACTGATGACCTTGAAATATGAGGTGGATGAGATGGTGAAGTTTATGCAAAATAATGAAACCTACGAAACAAAGGTCGTTGTTTTACCGACTCTTCCGAGATTTCCCATGGCCGTCAGCGTTTCGCTTCTAAAGGCGACGTCGAAAAGATACGAATCTATGCTACTCCCCGCATGGAAACATGCTTTGAGCAAGCAAAAGAATTCGAGAAAGATCCTAGCAAAGGCTGTTCCAACGGTTGTTGAAGATGAGAAAACCCAACTCGCGGCTGATCCCCCTGCTACCGTCGCACCATCTCTTGAGTACTACTATCTTCATATTGCAATTGATGCTCTCAAAAATCGTCAGAAAGTTATCAACAACAAGGCTTGAAGTTGTTCCGCCACGGCCTTGTCAATAACATATCGACTAGGATGATATATTGTGTGCTTGTTGTATAATGTATGTCTGTGTTCAACTGCTAGCGCCTATATATGGTTAGTCATAGCTAGGCTAGCAAATTTATGATATAAGAAAGTTATTCCGATTGTGCATAGCCCGACACGAGACCATCTAGGGCGTCATTCTTCAATCGATTATGTAGAAATTATATCTAGCTGTGAATGACATCGTATCGTTTGATGTGTATAAATATGGATTTCCTTGTGTTTAATTTCATTTCAACCTTGCTCTTAGTTTATGTGAGATCATTTTATATTTGTTACCCCTACATTCACAAATCTATATTTGGATTATTTATGTGAATTAATGGGTTGAAGTTTTGTATATAATTTAAAACAAATGTAGTATATTCTTTCAAAGTTAAGATGCATATATATTATATTGATCAAATTAAACATAGACGACACACAATAATACATTATGTCATTGATCTCTTGACGTGCCACTTATCGATTACAGTACATGTGGCTTATTTAATACAACGCAAACTTAAAAGAGCAAGAACACATTGGTCGATATATAGGCTACAAGTATTTATGGCAGGCAGCTTCCACAACTGCTACCAACTTCAAGCTAAGTCTTCAACCTCAGTTGTTGGAGCAACCGCATCCCTATATTGTAAAAATTAACTCTTAATTAGAAATTGATAAAAAAAAATAAATAACCATTAATGAACAATTACAGTATAACATAGCACAGTAGGTGTACTCTCGATAAATATTAAAGAACCGTAACATTAATCTTTGGACAAGCGATCGTAAGAAGAAGTAAAGAAAGAAGACGATACAAAAGAGTGAAATGAAGACGTTACACCTTTTCAACATAGAGTCCAATTGAAACAAGGTTGTCATGGGCAGTTCCAAAGAATCCAACAAAACGGTCATTTTCGGATAATGGCGGAGAATTAAATTCGCAGCCACCTTTGAGTTCATTATTTCCATACGGCCCGTGTCCACGCTTATTCAAATTAGTGTGTATCCTCAGCTTGGATATGAGTGAATCTTTCGTCTTCCCACTGATTCCGGTTATGTACTCACCAATCTTGAGCTTAACCTTCATTACACAAATCAATTAAAATTATGGTTATGAATAGCATTATGATTCGAATTGAATTAAATTAAAGTAAATGAAAAATAAAAAATGCGCGTAAATAAGTAAATACGTATGTAAGACCTTGAATTCAAGTCCGCCATTGCCACCAAACGTTGAAGTATCGCTATCCCCATTAGGGCTAGCAACGGTGAGCCCGATTGCATCCACAACGAAACCCGCCCTTACAATTACTTCTTTGATTCTATCAGACCCTTCGAGTTTGTAAGAAAAGTTTTCTACAGCCTCTTTGTCACCATATGGTCCGTACCTCTACAACAGTAAAATTTATACAATTAAACATGGAATGCGGACAAATGAATTTACAGGCTAAAATAAGCTAAAGAAAAATCACACGAACCTGGAGTTGAGCCATATTCTTTGCTTACAAATTTAAGGTCAAACTTAGCTAAAAATAGTATATTCACAAGTTATAGTGTAGTGAATGTGTTACGGTATGATCATTATCGTGGATGTAACAATGATATATATATAGTGTGACAAAGGGACCGTGAATAAATTCCTTGTGTATTGCAAGTGAATCCTCCTTGTATTATTGATGAAGCCGATTATTCTAGTTCTAGATTAAACGTCAATATACAGAATCTACTAATATAGTGTCAGTAACATCAACAACTTGATTTGGAAATCTTAACGTTCTCCTTCTTATACAAGAATGTATTAGGTAACACAACTTTTGGCCCGACCAGCTTTAATCTAGATAAACAAGAATATATTCTACTTGATATTGATATGTTTAACTTCTGATGTCAAAAAAATAAAAAGTAAAAAAATAATAAAAAAAATAAACAAGAACATATTCTAGTTGCTTGTAGGACATTTCTCAATTCTTATTGTAACGAACTTAAGTTATTTCACCCCCTAATTGGCCCGGCCAACTTTAATCTAGATAAATAAGAATATATTCTACTTGATATTGATATGTTTAAATTCTGATGTCAAAAAAAAATATAAAAAAAAAATAATACAAAAAATTAAATGAGAAAGTAGGAAAATTGAAGATTAGAAAGTAATAAAGTATTTAAGGAATTTAAGGAAAATTTTAGAGGAAGATTGAAGATTAGAAACTATTGCACTTCTTGGAATTGCAAGATTAATGGGATGAGGGAAAGTAATTAATTAGGAGGTATCTTGGAAGGTGAGAGTTTTAAGGAAATACTGGCAAAACAAGAAAGTAATACGGTGTGACAGGTATATGAAATATGAAAATTTTTACAAATTTGTATTATTAGAGATGCAGAATTAATGAAGTAATTAGAGGAATTACAAACTTGGGAACATAAATGAAGGGAGCATGAATCTAGACTGTTTTGTTGTGAAAACCAGAGCATTAATGGAGTTGTTTGACGGCAAAGAGATAGGCGGAGAAAAAGATAGTTTTTTTTTTTTTTTTTTTTAATATGGGCTCCGAAATTTTGGGCCCTTAAAATTTCGGGGGCCTTGTACTAAGGGTCTTGTTTAGGGAAAAAATACCCTAAGACACGTGGCCCAGTAAAGGCCTGCCACGTGTCAAGCTTGCAACGGTCAGCAAAGGCCCAATCCCTTTGCGACACGTGTCATTGTACCCTAATTGAGGTATAGTTCTCCCTACTATAAATAGTAAGGGCAGACCTCATTAATGGGGATCGAATCATTTTCCCACAAACCAACAAAACACAAATCCCCTTGCAAATGCTCTCAAATCGAGAAGCATTTATTGTCTTATTTCCACATTTAGAAAGAGACTAACTTAATCTTCGGAGGCGGAACACCCTAGCCCCAGCCGGAGTATTCCGTTATTTGTGCAGGTACAAGCGAAGGAAGGAGCATTCTAGGAAATTGTAACTCTCCCGTAGGACACATAAAAACCCCCCAAACAGCTGGCGCCGTCTGTGGGGAGAGTACTTTCTAGATGACTTCAGAACCGGTAAAGCCGGGTAAAAGTAGTCAACCTGCTGGTGAGGTTGAGGTCCACTCGGACCAAGACACAACCGACAATCATGAGATTGAAACTTACACAGCAGCCGATGGTTCCTTCAGAACCAAGCATACTCGTTCCAAAGACAAGAGGGAACGGGTAGAGCAGCAGGCATACCCAAATCATCCTACCAGGGGACCGCTTGGGTTGACTCCTACTTCAGAAGGAGCCACCCCAGTCTCCAGAGATGAACTCATGAATATGATGATGAGCTTCAAAGGAGAGATCAAAGGCCTTCTGGATAATACAGCCGGCCCTCGTAAGGGTCAGGCGGAAGGAAGGCGGCTGGGAAAAAAGACAGCCAAAACAGTCAAGGGTAGAGCATCTACCCCGCATCCGAAGTCAAAAATGCCGGCCAGGCCCTTTGATTTCTCAAAGATACACACTCCCATAGATGGAGTCAGAAAGCCTGTCCGGCACATTCAGCCGAATGGAACCAAGAAAGTCTATTCTGATGCCCGGACGCTCATTCAAGATAAAAAGACTCAACGATCCGAGTCGGCATCAACATCGACCTTTCGAGAAAGCTTCAATGCCACATCAGGGAGGCACTCGAGAACAAACAATGACAGCCGGACGAGCGAGGTTTCCGCTCGATCTGGCCCTCATATGATCCAACCGGCATTGCATGGAACACCATAAACGCCTTTTGGATCTCCCTATGCCCAACCGGGTCTTTTCGGGGGGCACCAGCAGCCGCCTCTCCAGCCTATGGACTGGCAGCTCCGGCTGCTCAACCTTGGGGAACAGCTAACGGCGTTTTCCAGGGAAATCACCGAGATGACCCAGCCGGCTAAGATCAAAAACGTGTTGGTAGGTGCCTACGACGGTACCACCAACCCGGAAGATCACCTCATGGCATACACCAACCTGATGTATTTGCAGGGTTTGGATGACACCTCATGGTGCAGGTGCTTCCCGGCAACGTTGAAAGGGATTGCTCAACGTTGGTTTGGTAACCTCTCAGCCGGATGCATCAATAATTTCAGGACCTTGGCCTACTGGTTTACGTCCAACTTTTCTATGAACATCCCTGCCAAGAAAACAAGCCTTGATCTAGGGGCAATCCAGCAGGGAGATAAAGAGGGACTCTGGTCATATGTCAGGCGGTTTAACCTGATGAGGATCCAAATCCATGGGTTGTCTGATGACGTTGCCTATACTGATTTCTTTAAAGGCTTAAAAGACGGATCAACTTTTAAGTTTGACTTGGTTAGGAAGAGGGTCTCTACTCTTCATGAGGCGCTCATGAAAGCGGAGGCCTACATTCAAGCAATGGAATTGTGTGCTGTGAAACTTCCAACGGATTACAAAAGATCCGATAAAAAAGAGAATCGGCCTACCCAGTCGGCCAAAAAGGAAGACAAGAGAAAGGGGGTATGGGCGGCAGACTCATCCGGACAACCTTTCCAGAAAAGAAAGAGGTTGGATCCGTATGTGCCCAAGTACGAGTTCAACAAGGATTGTGCCTCCATCCTCAACGAAGTAAAGGACCGGTTGAATCTTGAAAAACCGGCTCCTATGAAGAGTCCCTTAAGCGCCCGGGATAAGAGCAAATATTGCCTTTTTCATGAGGAAATTGGCCATGACACTGAAGGTTGATTTAGCCTCAGGTGGCTCTTTGATCGGCTGGCTGATGAGGGGGCTCTCAAATCATACCTTTCCAAGTCAAAGGGTTCTCCCAAACAAGTAAAAGGACCACCCCCAAAGAAGCCGGCTACTCAATCGGATACGGATGAGGAAACCATCCTGACCATAGCCGGTGGATTTGCGGGAGGTGGGCCTACCATCAGGGGCACAAAAGATAACATTCGGAAACTGGTCAACTCAGTAGATGAGGGCCAGTCGTCTGAATATTCATTTCCGGAAGTTAACATCTCCGAGAAGGATAGAGGAGAGGTCAGGCGGCCTCATGATGACCCAATAGTCATCGAGTGCAAAATCGCCAATCAAAGAGTTGGCCGGATCTTAATTGATACCGGGAGCTCATCCGACCTCATCAGCTACCGGTGCTTGGAAAAACTCAAGTATAAGCCCAGTAGCATGCATCCGGCCTCATATCCTCTTGTAGGTTTTGGGGGAGGAGTAGTACATCCGGTGGGTATGATTGACCTACCCATCCGGTTTGGAGAAAAGGGGAAGGGCCGGCACATGGTTGTCAAGTTTCTTGTTGTAGGAGAGCTGACTGCCTACAACTTGATTATTGGCCGCCCAACCCTTAACATCTCAAAGGCAGTCATTATCCCATCTCTAATGTTGATCAAGTTTGAAAGGGATGATGGCACCGTCGGTTCCTTGAGTGGGGACCAGAAGATGGCGAGAGAGTGTTACCTCTCGGACATCAAACCAACGCTTGACACAGACGGTCAAGAGAAAGAAATAGTTTAGCTTGACGACTGTGATCAAAGCTTACCGGCTACTAAGCCAGCCGGTAAAAAGAGGAAGGCGGACCAACTGGCGCCTGTAAAGGAGAAACAATAGCAATCACTGTCCGGGGAGAGGCCAGACATCCTTCGCCCCCAGCCGGCTGGAGAAATAATTGACATTGTCCTTGAAGATAGCCGGCCCGACAGAACTGTCAAGATTAGAACGGGTGCGTTTGAAAGTTTGGGATCAGATTTACTCCTTTTGCTGAAGGAGTTCAAAGATGTGTTTGCCTTTGAAGTAGAAGAGATGCCAGGTGTAAGTCCGGATCTTGATGTTCATAAACTCGCTGTGGATCCTAAAAATAAGCCGGTCAGGCAAAAGAAAAGGAACCATGGCGAGGAAAGGTCCCAGGCGGCAGCAACCGAGGTCAAGAAACTCTTAGATGCTGGGTTCATCCGGCAATGTTACTACCCGGATTGGGTAGCCAATGTCGTCCTTGTGAAAAAGCCGAATGGAACCTGGCGGATGTGTGTAGATTACACGGACCTGAACAGGGCTTGTCCAAAAGATAGCTACCCGCTTCCAAAGATAGATCATTTGGTAGACTCTACAGCCGGCCATGCCCTGATGAGTTTCATGGATGCCTACTCCGGCTTCCATCAGATACCCTTGTGTAAGAAAGACCAAGAGAAGACGGCTTTCGTCACAGATCAAGGGTTATACTGCTACACGGTGATGCCGTTTGGGTTGAAGAATGCGCCTGCTACTTTCCAACGAATGATGAACTCGGTCTTTTATGATCAGATTGGAAGGAACGTGGAGTCGTACATCGATGACATGATAGTCAAGTCAAAGCTAGAGGCGGATCATCTAGCCGACCTCCGAGAAACCTTCACCACCCTCAGACGGCATAGAGTCATGTTAAATCCGAAAAAATGCGTCTTTGGAGTTGAGTCTGGGAAGTTTCTTGGATTTTTGATTGATTAGAGAGGCATAGAGGCCAATCCGGACAAAGTGCAGGCGGTGATTGACATGCAGTCGCCTCGTACCATCAGGGAGGCTCAAAAGCTTACCGGTTGCCTGGCAGCATTGGGGAGATTCCTCAGCCGGTCAGGTGACAAGTGCCTGTATTTCTTTCAAGCAATCAAAAAGAGGTCGAGGTTTGAATGGGGTGAAGAGGCTGAGGCGGCATTTCAACGGCTGAAGCAACACTTGCATTCTTTGCCAAGATTAGTGAGTCCCCTACCCCAGGAGGCTCTCTACATGTACTTGGCCGTCTTGGATCATTCCTTGAG